GGTGAAATATTGCTCTCATAGCGGTCAAATCCCCAGAAAACAGCCATGAGCTCCCATTCTAGGCCAGGGTCTTTCTTAGCTGACCATAAGACTACATGTAGGACACGTAGGCCTGGGGCAAAGTATGGCCCCGAACTCTCCATGGTACCAGGGCACCCTTGTTTGAAGACCACAATTTAGTGATTGCTTATGAAAGCTTTAAGACAACTGCACAATGCTGATAACCTCTTGCAGACAAGTACATTATTGTACTTGAAAACTGTTTGGTAACATTTAGAGATGATTGCGACAACACTACAAAGGCATGGATACTTAATGAAGGTTCTCCATAATACCTTAAGGCAAACTGTACAAAAGGTCTGAGGAACAAAAGGGGATAAATACAAAAAAATTGAATGGTTGAAAACAACTGAATAAGTAGGGCTGAAAAAAACCTGAAACCAAGCATTACAGAGGACCTTAGGAATGCTAACAAAGGTTTGCTACTAAACTCTTGGGATCTCAGAGATACATATATTGTGCCATTGTGACTTTTTGACCCATACACTTTTTTAAATTTCGTTTACCTTAAGTTTAAGAGGGTTGCAGAGACAAAATTATGAAATGCTCATGTTGAGAGCTCTACCCTCTTAAACCTGTCTAGTGTTCATTACAGATCATTTGTCCCTGTCAGTTGTAATGCTTTGAATCTTTTTTCAATGTTTAGGTTGTGTTGAGTTTAGTCTGGGGATGGAAGATGGAAGAATTCCAGACAGTGGAATAAATGCTTCGTCTTCTAGCACACCAGCCAAGAACGGTCGACTGAACTACACATCAGGATCATCATGGTGTGCAGGAGCGAGTGACACTAACCCATATCTACAGATTGATCTACAGAAACTTCATATCATCTGTGCTCTGTCTACTCAAGGAAATTCTAAAGCAGATCAGTGGGTGAAGACCTACACACTACAATTATCCACCAATGGGATAGCTTGGACAGACTATAAGGAATTAGGTGGAAAAGTCAAGGTAAGCAGAGCATAATACACAGAGCATTATTTCCAAAACAACTAAGATTTAACATGCATTGATTTTTACATCTATATAAAATCCTTACAAGCATGCAGGAGGCAGTGACCAGTTCTTGCCCCTAAAAATTATTAAATATAAATGTGTGATACAGGTTGTGATACCAACAGAAATACTGATATTGACGAAAAAAACATAGCTTTCACGCCCTGATTCTGAAGAGTCTGACCATTTTTATTAAGAGCTGCCCATAGTTTCAAAGTTTCAATATTTATTTCATTCATTTTATTGTAAAGAAAGATGGTAACATTTTAGCTTTGTGAAGAAAGTGAGAAAGATATTTTTCGTCTTCTCACAAGCGTAGGACAAAGCTAACAAATCTGCGTCCTCATGAAGAATCGTACATTACACCTTTAGATTCGGCGCTCAAATTCTCAAATCAATTAAGTAGCGGTTGACTATGTTGGTTAAAGATGAAATCGTACATTTCCGTCATTACCACCTATGATGCTCAAATTATCAGTATGTCCATCATTGGATTTCTTCTTCTTTAAAAAGGAATGTCGGAGAAGAAAATGAATTCACTGATATTATTTTAATGAGTAATTGCACTTAAATTGAAAATGCGTAGTATCCTCTGTGGGCTAAGCAAATACAGTGTCTTCAGCTAAGCCTTCAGCAAATGATTTTTCAGAGCTGTGAGATTGCTGCCGAGGAGCAGTAAGAATTTTTTTTTACACTGCTGTGTAAGACTTTTTTTCATATATGGCAAACCAAATGCCATTATTTTAAATGAAAAAGAGTATTGCTAGCCCTCAATCATCTACTTGTTGAAAATGGGAAGAATAGATTTTCACTCAAAATTTCTGAGGGCACTTTACTACTTGCGGTGACCATGTCTTAAAGAGCGCAAAGATGTTTCCTGCTCCATTTTCATTTTCACCCTTATCAAACAATTTTCAAGGTTTGACTCTTGGCCCTAAAGAGTACTAGCATCTTGTTTCTGGTTACAGTATCACCCCTGAATTAAACACTAAGGTCACACAAATAACGGAACTGATCACAAGCTCTTTGTCATGTCGTACCTTAGGAAATGTAAAGAGAATTGTTTGGGGAATGTGTCTACTGATGTTAAGGTGTGAAGGGTTAAGAAGGAAATGATGATAGAAACTCATTTGTTATAAGCTGTGTGAATATCATTATCCCTGCTTTTTTCTCAGTTTGCAAGAAATACAAACTGAGAAAATGGGGGATTATGAGGTGTGACTATTTGTTTTGTTTCTTTTAAGATTCTGATAGGAAATGATGACAAAAACTCAGAAGTAAAGCATGTTTTGTATGGAGTGTTGACTAGATATCTACGAATCCGACCACAAACTCACCAGGGTGGGGTGTGTATGAGAATAGAAGTGTTTGGGGTGAAACAAAAGCCAAGTGAGTTTGAAATTTAATGTTTCATGATTGCTATGATCTGCCACTTTAATGGACGTTCTTAGATACTCTCTTAATCTTTAAAGAAGAGTTTTAAACCTGATACATTCGTAGATATGTTCTTTTAATGCTAAAAAATAAGCTTTTTGGATACAGTTAGTGGCTAAAATGATACAAACAACATTGTATATAAATTATAGTCTAATGATACAGTTTATATAGTCATCAAAAACATCAAACCTCTCATGATAACTTTTAAGTTGCATGCTTAACGATTTATTGTCTCTAATTCGCCAAAGAAAGGGAATAGCTGATAGAAAATGCTAAAATTGAATTCATTTTTGGTGCCCAAATTCTGTTTTAAACTTTTTGAAAAGTCTCTATTCGATTGATATGTACATTAGATCAGTTGTAATTTTTGTAATGTGAAACTCAAATTATTGGGATTAATACCAACTAAGTTGAGGCAATATTTGGTATTGAAATGCTGTAGGATTCAGTTTATTAATCATTTCAATTAATAAGAAACCGTATAATCGTTTGTATCACGATGTAGTCACTTGAGATGTAGATTGTGACATTCCGACTGCTTACTGCTAGTCTTCATTAGGCGATGGAGTCGACTGCTCATGCTTTACCATTTGTATCATGGTGTTCTAGTGTGATTAGGGGATCTTGATCTCCATTGTTCTGATAAGCACAGGTTTCCCAAACTCCTCCCCAAGTAGAAGGCCTGTGAGGCAGTTCAAGTCCACATCGGTTTTACCCTATGTAAAAGGTGTATCAGAGCCTCTTGGCCGTTACCCACAACAACAAGGCACCCGCGCAGTCTTCATGTCCAACACAACACTTAGATTGCATTTACTGTGTATTTCCTGACAGATCGCAGCATTCATTTGGTTATTTTGCAAACAGTCAAGGCTTCATTTTCTCGTATTTTTCCATCACTCTTTTTCTGTATTTCTGTTTTAATATCTTACAGATTGTTTAGAAGTGTCTACAATGTATTATATTGAAAAACATACATGAAATATGCATAGATAGAAAGGTAATCTTTTAATTGTTACCTTGTAGCATGTGATTCACAGCCAATTGGTTTGGCCAGTGGTGGTAGAATTCCAGATGACAGCTTCTCAGCCACTTCAATATATAGTCCCACATACGCAGCTAAATATGGTCGTCTTAATGGACCAAGGGCATGGGCAGCTGAGACTAATGGTCGTGATGACTACCTACAAATTGACCTTCTCTATGAGTATGTTATCTGTGCTGTAGCTACTCAAGGAAATCCACCAACTCAATCGTCAGCTCAAGAATGGACCACAGAGTACAAACTAAGATTTTCTTTGAATGGTACCACTTTTTTCCCTTATAACGAAAATAAGGCTGACAAGGTTGGTATGACATGCTCTCGTATGCAAGTATTCATAACAGCCAAAATTAATGCTTGTGGTACAAAACTAGAGCTACTCACAGCAATAACAAATTTGCTTATACATGTCGTAGAATATTAACAATATTTACTAATGCTCGCATTACCCACAATATACTTCTGTTGCTTGCAAACCATATCGGCATTACTTTCAAGAATTAATAGTGAATTTTTCTAATCAATTACATGTACATGTAAGGATTAAAATGGAGTACACACACCCAAAAGCATGTAGTCTATTAGTTAAATATATGTTTTCATAGGAGTATGATTGTACAAAGATGTAGCAAACACTGACCAATTCTAACTGTTCAATCACACGTACTGAAAAAAATTACCACACAATTTAAAGATGAAGAATGAAATGGTTGTGATCTCTCTGACATTCATTATCTGACCTGTGGCATTCCTCAAGGCACAATCCCTGGTCATCTTCAAATGACTTGCTGAAGTAGCTCAAGCTCTTTAGTTTTTAACCTAGGATGTATACAGACAATGGGGACTTAACCTACAGATAACAGATTTCAGTTGTACACATTACAGATTCTCATGTTGTGTTCTTTTTCCAAGTTACAGATTTTCATTTTGCAAATTGCAGATTTTCATTTTATCTCATTTGCCAAATTACAGCGAACCATTAAATACATCAATATCACTTTTTGTATAACAGGCCTTTCCAGGAAATTCAGGAAAAACTGACACAGTGAAAAACAGTCTAAAGGAATTTGCAAGTGCAAAGTTTATCCGCTTTCTGCCAACAAAGTATAAGAAGTTCATAAGGTTTTGAGAGTGGAGGCTTATGGAATACTTTTGTCTAAAGGTATTTATTTGTTCTCATTTTTGTCCCTCAGATACAAAATGAAGTCACAATAAGTAATTATTAGGACAATTAAGGCAGAACTGGGCAATTTGCAATTACGAGGGCGATGTTATTGACGAATATCAAAAGTAAATGTTGGAGATGGCTGTGAAATGCCTATCAACAAAGTTGTGAAGCCTAACTCATAACGAACATCATGGAGAAAATATTGTAAATGCGTAAACAAAGTCACCACCTCAGATGATCCTTCGCACTACTCTTAATCAATATAGACTACCCATTAGGTTTACCGTGGCCGTTAATGACATGTTCTTTTTAAACTTCACATCAATTATTATCTATGAATTCAAGCATACATCTCTTGTTGTTGATACAGTTCCGTCACAACCTCCCACTGCCTTCCAGTTGACTGCAAGCTCTTCTACCAGCATCACAGCTTCCTGGAAGTTACCACCAGTCTTTGCCAGACATGGAAACATTGCAGGGTTTAAATTGTTTTACAAAAAGAAAAGTTCTAGTGGCTCAGCAACAACCTTGCCAATCAGCGATGGAGCAATATTAAGTAGAACTGTCAGAGTACTAGATAAGTACACAGAATATGAATTTCAGGTTTTGGCCTTCACTTCTGATGGTGATGGACCAAAAAGTTTAGCGAAAGTGAAAAGAACAATGGAAGATGGTATGTAACAGTTCAGGGATAATGAAAAGAACTGTGAAAGATAGTTCTTGAATTTGCATCTTCATTGCAGGTTTATTGGATACCAATCTCATGATGAGAGGGCTAAACAATTGAATAGTTTGGAATCAGTTGGTTACTTTAATTCATCAAAACACGATAGCATTTATATTCATGTGGCAAGTTAAGATGTGAGAGAATTTTTCAAAACATTTTACAGCTAATAAAACTAATTAAAAACACTACTGCCCAATTGCAGCTCCTTCACAACCTCCATCTAACTTCAATGTCACTCCAACCTCCTCTACTGGTGCAAGAGCATCATGGCAACTACCACCAGCAAACTCCAGGAATGGAATAATTAAAGGATTCAAATTATTTTACAAAAGGAAAGACTCGTCAGACTCAGGCACCATTCTTCTTATCAACAGTGAATCAATTTTAAGCAAAAATGTCAATGGGCTTTATAAGTACACAGAGTATGAATTTCAAGTGTTGGCTTTTACTTCTGCTGGTGATGGTGTAAACAGCTCTGTTGTTGTTAAGAGAACAAAAGAAGATGGTTAGAGAAACTTTTTGGTTTATCTTCTTAAAACGTCTTGACTTTTTAATTAAAGGTCAGATACACTTGCACTTCTCATACAGTTTTCTGATTTGGTGTTAAAAGTGAGAATGTATAATTATGTAATATGTGATTTTAATAACTATGATTTAACACACCGTCATATCAGTGAGTCATGAGTGGTAAGGTAATTATTTGAAGATAACTAACATAATGTAAGCATTCTGATTGGCCATCAAATCATGACTATTTACTCAAGAAATTATAAGCATGCAATTGAATATTAACAATTATGTTGGCTGTTTTTATTGGTTGCCTTCCTTCTGGATTTAGACCTAGATAGTGTACCCTTAGCTCCGTTGCAAATTTATAATAATTTCTGGATTTGAGTCTGCCTTTTTTCTTTCATTTGTTCCTGAGTGGCATTAATATTAAACAAACAAACAAACAAACAAAAACAGAAAAACAAATGAACAGAAACCAATATAGCTACAACACTGATATTCTGAGTCAAATTTGAGTTCCTCACTGGAAGAGGCATCCTACAAATTGAAGTAAAAATATAGTTTGATTCTTTATGTTTACCTCAAGACCACTTACGATTATGGCGTATTTTCAACATAGATTACAGGCTTCGTATGCAACAATTTCAGTATGCTAATTGGTTGAGAACACACCAGTTTATTTCATACAGTGCAGAAAGTTGAAATTAAGTGCAAAAATTGGAAATGAAATTGATTCACAGGAATGTCGCAAATTGCGGACAGGTTAGCAGCAAGTAGCAACTTCTAAATTCAAAGTTTGAAGGAGAGTGCTCAAAACAGAAACATCCAACAAAGCAAAGACAACTGGCTAAAAGTCCGGAAGACTTGGCTTCCCAAAATGGCTATGACAGAAGTATTGAAACGTACGAAATTCTCGAGAAGTTTAGGTGACAGTTCGTACCAAAGACGGAGAGACTATAAGGGTGTTAGCCTTCGTGTACTGGTTGCTGCTATTAAGTGATTATTTGATTAACAATAATGAGAAGATGGCGATTATCGTTAGGACTACTGTCATTTTTTTTATAGTCATATGCAACTTCTCAATTACAGTTCCTTCACAGCCTCCTAGTGGCTTTACTCTGGCTGCAACCACTTCTGAAAGTATAACAGCATCCTGGCAGTTACCACCAAAAGACTCCAGAAATGGAATCATCATAGGGTATAAATTGTTCTACAAAGAGAAAGGTTCTTCAGGGGCAGGAAGCTCGAAGCTCTTTAACAGTCAGGCAACTCGCTCTCAAGAGGTCAC